GCACGAGTCTCAGCGTTTTTGTCTAACTTTCCGTTCAGCTTCGTTTATCAAACAAAGGGCGTTCCCAGCCTGCTTTTTCTGTAGATTTTTTGTAACGGCAAATAACCAATCTATCGCTTCTATCTGCCGCCTCGCCAGTTTTATTGTTTGTTCTTTTCCGCCCCCATTCGATTCGAAAGGTTTGCTATCAGAGCCTAATCGCTTTTCGATTGGCCCTCTCTGCCGCCCATGGATTTTCCGTTGCTGTGTCTTCAGCATTTTTACGACTGGCTAGTTGATGCCTTTTTTGGGGCATTAAATTGGGGGAGTGACCAGTCGTTAAAATGCTATGGCTACTAGAACGATAAAATTAGGGACGAGACAAAACTTATAACGGTTTAATTTGATGGCGGTTTTTCAACAACAATGAATTGCTAGCAACTGATGAAAAATCTGAACTAGCAGTTCTTCTAATATTTTAGCATTGAGCTTCCGGTCTGGCTCTATCACTTTCTCACTCTTCGCTCACTCTCTCTCCCTCTCTCGCTCTCTCTCTATCTATCTCTCTCTCTCTCTCTCTCTCTCTCTCTCTCTTCATTCTAGTTACGACGGCGCGTTCTCATAATATTAATGCATCAACTTCCGTATTGCCCCAGGTCTTGTTTTAGCAGTCATCAGATCATCTGTGATGCAAATTGCGCCGTTCTTTGATCTCATAATTATACAAACTACGAATTTTTCGAAAAAACTTTTTTAGCTAAATGTTTTTTTAACCCTCAAGAAGTTCAGTATTTTCTTATTTTTGCAGTGTCTCTTTTCCTGTTTTGACAATAAAAAATTTACATTTTTCCAGAAACTCTAGTCTATCAAGAACTACAGCAAAAACCACACGTTCGATGTCGTCGGTGGACGTCTCGGATTTGCCGAAGGGCTTCTGGGAGATTGGGAATTACCGGTGTGTTTGGCGTTCAAAACTTCTCTCGGCCTCGAAAGTCGTTCAGCAAATAAATCACTACTACTTCTCATTTGCAGCCACAACGTTCGGCGCATCAAAGATGGCGTTGATCAACTGGATGACTTCTCGAAAATGTGCCGCGAGCGGGCAGAGATTGAGGGGAAATACGCAAAGACACTGCAGACGTTTCATCAGAAATGGAAGGCTCATTTTGAGCAAACGATGACGCCGAGTGCTACAAGGTATAGTTGAGGTTTAGTATAGTAGCTTCATGGACTTTAAAGGCACTTTCAAGGCAGTATGAGCTGTGCACCAACCGGCAAAAGTTGATCACATTTGTTTTCTTGAACTTCTACAGCGATTTCCCCGAAATTGTGGGCTATAAAATAGCCAATTTACAACGTACTATAGGGAAAATTACATGCTGTTTCCAATTTTACAATTTTGCAGCGGGAATAATTGAGTTTTGATGTAAAAATCGGCGTGAAGTTTGCGGAGAAATGCGGAGAAAGTAACGTTTTGGTGGGATGTATGCGGAATTTTTAGTAAAAGGGTAAAGATAATAACGGATTGAAAATTTAAGGGGCCATCGAAAAAATCCTATTTATTAAGCTACCGTAAAAATAAACCTTCACTTAACTTTTTAGACAATGCCTAACTGACCTCCTGAACGAGAGCGACCATCTGGCAAATTTGCATGCGATGGCGAGGGATAGACTGTGTGATGAGGTCGGTTTCTGGATTCTGCCCTCGCTTTTTTTTATAGGCTCGAATCTATGCATTTTTTAGCATCCTTTTAGTTGATATCATGATTTAATGCAGGTTTACCAGATCTTTTTCAGATCGTAAAAACACTGGCCCTATTCCGCAAGGAAAACCATCACCCGTCAGCCTTCAGGGCCCCGAAGGAAATCAGGGAAATCGAGGATGCTTTTGAGAAGGTATGAAAGTTACCTTAATCCCGGAATTATCCGATTTTCAGGCCCAAAGACAGTGGAAGAAGCTACACGAGAAAAATGAGTCCGCCAAGAAGTCGTATTATAACGGTAAGCCTAAGCTAAGCCTGAAACCAAGCCGAAAACCTAGGCCTAAGCCAAGCCTCGCCACGCCTAAGCCAAGCCTAACAATAAGTCAGGCCTAAGCCTGTCCCTTCAACCTTGCATCCGAAAAAGCACCTTTTTCAGCTTGTCGAGCCGAACGCAGCGCAGCCGTCCTCCTCGCCAACGCGCAGCAAGATACCTCCGTTTCCGTAGATGGCACTCAGAAAATTCGGGTTTGTAGCGTCATTCAATTTTCGTATTTTCCTTTTTCTAGGATCGCTGTGACAAGGCCCACGATGAGGTGCAAAGAACAAAGCAAAATTACGAGAAATATTTGGCCGAGATCGAGACGTACAAGGTAAGCAATCTTGGATTAAGATATTAAACTATGGGACGCGACCAAAATCACGGAGTACTTTTTAGACGCCCTACATGGAGAACATGACGTTCGTCTTTGCCAAATGCCAGCAAATGGAGCTGAAACGGCTAAAGTTCTTCCAGGAGATGATCCAGGGAACGGAGCACGTCTTGTTGGACTTGATTCGGAATAACAAGTGAGTTTACGTTTTTTTTTTATTTTTCTAAATTAGCGCAGCCGAAGTAAGCATATAGCGGGTTTGAAACTCCATTAAACTCAGAATTAAACTCGAAATTTCAGATTCAACCAATTACACGATCAAATCAACCTGCATCTCCGGGCCACCGACGACGCCGTCCTGAATCAAGATCTGAAGACCTGGAGCCAGGTGTATGGAGTGGACGCGCAAATGCACTGGCCGGGCTTTGAGGTAATAATGACTGAAAAAATAAAACCGCAAAACGCAAAATGATCTCGGGCGGGATCGAACCGCCGACCTTCTGTGTGTTAGACAGATGTGATAACCACTACACCACGAGACCGATGCGTGATAGGGAGAGGGGAGGGTTGACAAGGGAGGGGAGGCCCTACCCGGGCAGGGACTGACTGACTGACAGGCCAAACAGGGATGCCAGTAAGTTTCCAAATCAGCTTTTCAAAGGAAACGGAAGTCGTATATGAAAACGGAAGTAGACTAAAAAAAATACGTTTATAATTTTGCTATAAAGTAATGATTGACCATACCCAAAGTACCTTTTCAGGAGTACCGTCCCGAAATGCGCGAAATCTCGGCCCGAAAGAGCTCGACAAAGGACAACTCTGGAGGCGTGGTGCTGACACGACAAATTATCAAGGATGAGGACCCACTCCCGCAGCGTACAACGGTGGAAAAATTCCGGCAAATGGACAAGATGTAAGTGACTCAACGAATAGCGGAGTTTTTAAAGTCTTAGAAGTCGAATCACTCACTTTTTTTAGCGAAACCGGAAGTCACAGAAGCCTGCCGGGGAGCAGCCAGAATAGTGATAGTGGAAAACAAGGGGTAGGCTACCTTTTGAAAATTTTCAGGTTCAAACAAACTTTTTTAGAGCAGCAGCGACTCTGACACAAACACATTCGACTCCCAGAAGAGCGGCCAGAAAAATAGAATTAATAAGGTATGGTTTACCGAGGAATAGGAAATTTCTAGAAGTTTAACGTTTAAATTTGTATAAAATATATTTATTTAGTTCTTAAGGTTATTTTTCGTCTCGTAAAAAATAAAATGGACATTTTCTTAAAGTAACCGTATTAAAAGATGCAATAAAATTTTATTTAAACAATTTAAGGAATGATTTTCAGTTCCAAAAAGCAACAAACAACAACTACCCTCAAGAAAACCGATGGGACTCCCTAAAATCTGCCCAGCACCACCAGCCGTTAAATCAGTCAAATTCCCTGGTTTCGTCCGGTGCGTCCACCCTTCCTCCACAGTCACAGACGCCCGACTCGGAGAAGTTCAGCGAGTTTGATGATTATCAGAAGGTAGGTTGAATCGATGTTCTTTCTCTCTTTATTTCTCTCTCTCTCACTCTCTTTCCCAAATACAGTAAAAGGACCAAGGAATTGTACGTTAAACCCTGTGGTTATAGCAACTCGGCACGGTACTCTACGACTACTCGCCAATCGAAAATGACGAGATTGGACTGAAAAAAGGTGAGCAAGGCTGACCGATCAAAGTGATGCTCGTTAAGCTCACAAAACTACTTAACGGAACCACCAATACCGAAAATCGACCCCTAGTCTCAGCTGGGTCTCGACATTTCCGCGCGGATTTGACACTGAATTAAAAACTGAATTGAAACCTATCGCCTTTATTTTGGGCAGCTTTTCAAAGACTGAGATGTGTGTTTTGGATTTTTGCGTAGACATCGAGTCCCAGTTGTCTGAAGGGGTTAATTTTGGAGCTTTCCGATACCGTTAAACATTTATATCCAATTGTAATTAAGTTAATAACCATAAATTCCAGGCGAAACCATCGAAGTCCTCTCGGAGCCCGACTCACTCGGCTGGTGCACTGGCAGGAAAAACGGGCTTACCGGCCTGTTTCCGGCCAGTTACGTGCAAGTTTAACTTAAAAAGATGCCTGAATAAATTGTCTTTTTTATGTCCTTTTCTGCCAGATCTGTCACTACTCAATCGCTACCATCCGATATTTGCTCCGTTTTTTACTTGACTTTCACTTGGTTTTTTTGTAAAATTTGCCATTGTCCAGCCATTAACTTTCACGTAAATTGTAGTCAATTCCCAATGCCCGGCTCCTGAACTATACAAAATGTGATCATATTGATTGAATTCTTGTAAAAATAAAGAAATAAATGTTTTATCAATAAGAAAACACCGTAATTCTAATAAATTACTAACATTTTTTTAGATAACAGGAACGTATCTCGAGGACGAGAACTTTTGACGAAACAGCTCTTGAGCCTTATGGAAATCTTTGAGCGATGGTAGCTTCATCGGGCTGCAGTACATATACTAAAATTCATAGTCAAATTAATATCCCTTTTTCAAACCCGATTTGCCAATCCTGTTAGCGACTCGATACGGCAACGATCAGCGCCGAAGACTGCGGTGTATTTTTTAAGAAACTGAAATGGAAGTGGACGTCGAATTTTTTAGGTATTACTTCTTTTTCGATTTTCAGCTTCTTATGGCCAATTACTAGTAGATTAAAGACGATTATACCTAAAAATGAATCGAAATCGCGGAGTGAGTGAGAGAAAAGAGAGAGCGAGATTGTGAGATAGAGAGAGCGAGCAAGAGAGCTAGAGCTAGATAGAAAGATATTGAGAGAGGCTGTGAGTGAGAAAGAGAGAGACAGCGAGAGAGTGATAGAAAGAGAGACAGACACCGAGAGTGTGAGAAGGAGAATCAGAGATAGTGAGAGAGCGAGAGAGAAGGAGAGAGAGATAGAGGGAGAGGGAGGGAGAGAGAAAGAGTGGGAGAGAGAGAGAGAGAGAGATAGAGGGAGAGGAAGGGAGAGAGAGAGTGGGAGAGAGAGAGAGAGAGGTGAGAGAGAGAGAGAGAGATGATACTTACCACTCTTCCGGATAAAACTCTTTAAGTTCTTGATAAAAGCCTTTTCAGTAAAAAATTCGATAGGGCAAAGCATGTCATGCTTTGCATCGTTGTAACAAGCATCTATCAGGATAGCGTCGAAAATATTGTCTAAAATGAGCCATCTTTAGGGACTATAACCCGTAAGCTACCATTCCCAACCGCCAGCTGATTTTTTACGAATTGGACGCCGTCTTGGATTATAATGCGGGAAAGCTTGTCCTCCACAACCTGAAAACGCTTTCAAAAGCGCCATATTTGCATAAATTATTATGTATTTAAGGCTTACATTAAACTGCTCGATAGCCATCGGTTTCGTAGCCGGGTTGATGTCGACCATCGTCACGTTCATCTGAAGTAATTTTTAGACGGTATCTTTCGTATAAACTACGATGCCCTACCGCCTAATACAGGGTGGTCCATAAGTATTGTCGTTTTTCAAGGCGTCATATCTTTTCCCACTGGGCGAGTTGAGCCATTTAGCCAAGTAGGTTAGCTTCAGACAAGCCTTAGAAACCACTTTGCTTTAGAAAGTTTTTTGGAATAATGGTTTCTAAGGGAGATAATTTGTCTAAAGTGGGCGAGAAAAGTTTGGGGTGCGCCGCGCCAGAATTTCGGGAAGAAGGGCTCTAAATCCATCGATTGAGAGTCAGGATGTTTTTCCAGCGAGTTTATGGTAGCTTCAGCATTGTTCTGCATTTCCCCAAATGGAAATCTTAACAGCTTGTCGCTTGAAGGAGCTATGCCCTCCGCAATGTTGGACGAAAATCCGCAAATTCAGGGCATCCCCGTCATTTTTTAGTTATCGAAGTTTTATTTCTTCCTGGGGCGACCCGGGGGCAATCCTAAATGGCATTACTATGCTACCTGACGTCTTCTTTCTAATGGCATATTGAGCTAGGCTCCTGTCATTTTTCGGACTTTGATTTGAACTAAAATTGGCTGGTGCATGCCACTAGGCAAAAATCTCGATTTTCTTGAACTTCATGTGGAATTCTGCGCTTAAAATTTGGGAATAGTTGAAAAGAAGCCTTAGCTATACCCAAGAAAAATGTCACAGTTTTCCCAGCTTTCTAGCAGCCACGATCTCAGTTTTACATACGGGGTAAGGCGAGGGCGGCGCACCGCGTTCGCCGAAACTTTAAATAGCGCTTGCTCAAAAACGGAGATGCGAAAATTTTTGTTTGGAAATTCTGCTAGCAGAGTTTTACTTGTTCTTTCAATTGTAAAGGCAAGTTTAGTAAATAAATAATTCTTTTGTCGCCAGCCGAGCCTCGCAAAGGCCATTTTTAAGCTGAAATTTGGAGGTTCTCTAGAAACTATGTGCGATAAGCTCGAAATCTCAATACGATCCTGCAACCTATCCTACCATCGGATAGAGGAGAGAAAACTGCATAAGGCATACGCTTAACTAGCCGATCGCACACGGCCCCGATTAGATACAGCCGGCCAAAAGGCGCGACAATACTTATGGACCACCCTGTAGACTACCTTTAATAAATTAAGTTTAATAACTCACATTCGGAAACGTGGCCGACACAAAATTATTCATCACCCCACCGCCCAGCCCGATGAAGAGGATATTACCAGCTACCGTTTCTGTATTAAAGCAGTGTCTCAAGGTATCGAAATTAGCTTACCTGTCATCCCCAAAGATTGAGTAGCAAATATGGCAGATATCATCGAGAATAGGTACCCGATTTTTGGGATGAATTTCTTATCGACCTTCCAGCGGCTGGTGTCGGTATTTTCGAGGGTGTACTCTGAAATGAATACAAAAGAGCATGGTGTATAAAAATTTAACTTAATTTACTACTTCCGTTGCTTTGAAAAGCTGATTTGGAAACTTACTGGCATCCCTGTTTGGGCTGTCAGTCAGTTAGTCCCTCCCCTGGTAGGGCCTCCCCTGTCCTGTCAACCTCTCCCCTGTCCCCCGTCACCCATCGGTCTCGTGGTGTAGTGGTTATCACATCTGTCTAACACACAGAAGGTCGGCGGTTCGATCCCGCCCGAGATCATTTTGCGTTATTGGATTTGTAAAGGCTTCAGAAGCTTGGCAGATACTTTTTGCCGATTAATACGCTTCAATTTGACGCTCATTGGTCTGCGAATCCGGTATCAATTGATGCTGCCTGCACCTTCTGTTCACCCATTTTTCTTGTAAAAAACCTACCCGTTGGTATCAATAACGCCGCTTCCACCAATATCACATTTGCCAGTGTGTTCGGTTTCACCACTCTCGCTGGACCGTCGCTAAATTCGGCTGAATTTGCATAATTTTTAAATACCAACGTCTTTCTACCAGTATCCCAATAATCGCTAACAATAAAACACGTTTCCTTCCAGCAATATTCCCCACGAAAGGCTGGGCTAGCAATCCGATCCTGAATAGGTAAGGTTAAGGTAAAAAAGAAGCTTTTGAATTTCTGGCTCACCTTAACAATGTCGAGGAACTGTTCCCGGGACATTTCGTTCCTTGGCTGGGGTGGAGTTTGAAATTGATAGATGGCGAATATCAGGATGGCAGAAAGGGAGCTGAAGGTCGCTTTGAATAAATATAGCTTTCGTTCTCTCTCTCTCTCTGTCTCTCGCCTCTCTCTCTCTCTCTCTCTCTGCATTTATCTCTGACCCAGAATTTCTCGAAATTATCTACTGTTTAATCGATTACAAAATTACAAGGTTAAACTTACCAGCAACGGCCATCGCAGCCCCCTTGATCGCATGGCGGTCGCACATTGTCTCCTCTTCTTCACGCAACTCTGCAAAAAATTGAGACGATCATTATTTAGGAGTGAGCCATCGTGATGACTGGCCCTTTCTGAAACGCAGGCCATGTGCAGCATTTTTGAAGCGGGCGAGGCATTGGAAAATTGCACAAAATATTCCGAGGTGCGCCACGGCTTACAAGGAGACTTTTTCGTAGCAAGTGTCCGCCCGGAAAAGTCAACCCAGAATAAAAATTATTGTCGAATTGGGGTCGTGAAAAATGATGGCTAAGCCAAGAATTCAAATTTGAGGCAATAAAACGTGACTGAATTTGTGTATTTTGGCCAATTAAAAGCAGCTGTGGATAGCTATTAGCAGCTAGGCTACCTGATCGGACCCATTCGAAATTAGTAACGCGTCGTGTTCTCCCGAATTCAACATCGGAAGTAGTATAGCCTTGTCAAAAGTCCAACTGTCGCCTCTTTTCGATTCGGGCCCGATTCCGCTTGCAAAATTATATGCGCACAATAAGTAACCGCAGCTTTTTCGGGAGATCGATTTGAGCCGGCCAACTTGGACCGTAGTCTTCAACCATAAAAAAGGGTTGTTGATAACATCCGAGAATTTTGTGAAACCTCAAGTGTTAATTTTTCCGTGGACTTTTCAGAGTAGTTGAGAACAGTAGTGATTTATGAAATTCCTGCTGTGGTTTTTTTAGCTTTCAGAGGAAACACCAACTCGATCTTGAACTGCTTGAAAAACCCTTCCGGTTAAATGGTCTTATTTTTATGAACTCCTCTGCGGTTCGCTAACTTTCCAGGGATCCGATTTCGATTGTATCTTTGAATTTCGCTCCACTGAACGTCTTGAAAACCTTGGTATGACCTTTTTGGAGTTAGGGTTTTTGCGTCGCAGCTCAGTCAAAAAAAAATCCTGCAAAGTAAAATACCACATTGTATCTTTTTTGACTTATAGAAACCTTTTGTTGTTGATCCCAAGACCCCCAAATCCCGTTTCACTACCCAAGGCCAACTGAACGGGGAGCCATGTCGTTACGCCCTCCAGCTGTCCTTGCCCGGTTTTTGCATGTTTTCAGGAAGTCACGCGCCATGGGCTGCACGTTTCAATGATCATGGACGAAATTTCGGCACGTCAACTTCATCGAAATAACGCTTAATCGGTGAAGACAGGTTTTATCATCAATACAGGTCCGGCAAACTCGCCGTAAGCGAAAAATCATCATAAATGAGCCTTGGCAGGGCTTCAGATGAAATAAAATTGCGTTAAAACTACAAATTACGATTCAAAAATTAAAAAACCCGGTTCTCCTTTGATGCAAAGTTTCCATACCGAATCGCGGCTAGCCGCTTACGCAAGGTTTTTCTTCCGCTCAAACACAGGAAAACTCCTCTGGAAATGAAAAATTCTAAAACTTAAATGAACAGATGGATTTTTGGAACAAGTAAACTGCGACGTAAAACATTGCTTAAAAGATAAAAACTGAAAAGTCAAGCCAAAATTAAATTTAGGTATTAAATTAATTAAATTTATTAAATTTATTAAATCGAAATCGGGCTTAACCAGTTACGACATGTTTTTCTAGCGCTAGGCAACCACCAAAAAACGCGCTGAAGGGAAAGGACTCATTCGGGACTTTTCAGGATAATTTTATAGGAACCCGAGGAACTTTTGAGACGAAAAATACCGCTTGAAAATCTCAAAATTCAATTGATGCACTTTTCCAGTTTTCGTTCCAATCGGGGCTAACCGGTTACGACAGCTTTTTCTAGCTCAGGGCAACAACCAACCTTTCGAGGGAATTTTCAGGCTACTTTTTAGTTTTTTTTAAATTTTAGGCTACTTTTTAGTTTCTTTTTTTAGTTTGAGGTCAATTTTCAGGTTTTGTAGAGCTTTTCAGACTAAAAAAATCCGCTTGGGACCTTAAAATCCGCCACTTTGGTACATACACTTTACCCGTTTTCCTAATCACTCGCTAATAATCACACTCCCAAGCCAGATAAATCTTTGCCCTGATCCCCCCGCCCCGCAACGTGCTCATACCAGATACGCGACGAAAATGTTCGTTTTGCCCCGATCGGCCATGGCGCCGTCTGCAAAAATGGGACAACAAAAACGGTGGTTGGGGTAGAGAAATGAGAGAAGAAGCACCGCTTGGAAGGGGTCAACAATTGGGTAAAACCCGTGGACCCCGGTTGGCCAGCGGCCGGCCCCCCTGTTTGCCAACCACCCGGTTTTTTGAAAGCGTTCTTTGCGGAGCGTTTCGTTTGCAGCAGAGTTCAATCGAGCAGTTTGAGTGTTTATTAACATTTTTTGATGCTGTGAAATTTCAAATGTCGTATTTCTGGATTTTTGAGACTTTACTGGCTCGAAAAATGGGTCTATTCGAAGCCATGAGCTGAAAAAAAAATCGGCTAAAGAACATACAGGGTGGGCCAGAAAAAAAGGCCCTGGTTTGCACTGAAATATCTCGCTAGGAGAAACGAATCGGACCATGGTTACCTTGCCAGAATGCTTAAATATGCTGGGTATGAAGAATAAACACAAGTTGTTTTTTAGGATTTTTGACGACCACCTACTCGTTAAGAATTTTTGAACATTTTTGAAAAAATAGAAAACTTTGAAGAGGGAATTAATGGAACTTTTAATGCGCTAGTGGCGCATGTAGGGTATCAAAATCAGCTCTTGGAATGCGCTATCAAATCAGTGATAAAGAATATAGAACGGTTTAACTAGCTGTAAAAAGGAACGTTCGGAAAATCGGCACTTTTTGCAGGAATAATTCCAGATAAAATTCCTTTACCATTCGATCTTTCTGATATTTTGCATTTACCAATAAATAGTTAACTACTAACTTTTGGCATTAAGGTTTTCAAAATCCCGATCAAAAAAATTTTTGGCACTTTGCCAAGTCGGTGGAATTTGTAAGTTCTAGGCTCTCATAGTTAAATCTATAACATGGTTATCTTTGGCAAACAGGATTACATCTAACAAATACAAAAAGTGACGGCGGCCATGTGCTTTCTATGGTTAACTCGGAATCGCCCCTTCTGGAAAAGTCCGGATTTTCCGAATGCTCCGGTTGACGGCTAGTTAATCCGAATGACAATCTTTGCCACTATTTTAGTAGCGCATTCCGAGAGCTTCATTTTGATACCCTTCATAGCCCGCTAATTCATTAAAAGTTCCATCAATTTCCTCTTCAAAGTTTTCTACTTTTTCAAAAATGTTCAAAAATTCTTAACGAGTAGGTGGTCGTCAAAAATCCTAAAAAACAACTTGTGTTTATTCTTCATACCCAGCATCTTTAAGCATTCTGGCAAGGTAACCATGGTCCGATTCGTTTCCGTTCGTGAGATATTTCAGTGCAAACTAGGGGCTTTTTTTCTGGCCCACCCTGTATGTGAAAACCTCTAAAATTTAACATATAGCTTGACTCTAACTTTAGCGGCGTTTTTCAGCAACTTTTAGATGCCTTTTGATAATGATGCGGATTTCCCCAAAAAAATTATGCATGACTCACAGCAATTAGCCACAGGTTACCCGAAACTCCCCTAAAAAGCGCCTGCCTTTTTGCCCTTGTTTTCCAAATTTCTGCTGACCAAAGCCCACTTCTCACATGCATTTTTACCCGCCTTTTTTACCTCTCCTTCGCTGCCCACCTAAATGCGTCCCACTAAGATCAGCTGATGCTGGCTGCGTGCATGTATAATCTTTTGTTTTCGGAGTAAGTTTATGTGTGTTTTGCGTAACTCCTTTTGCCGTTATTGTAAAGGATTTGGAGTATTACTATGCCTATTTATTTTTGAGATAGTAAAGGCCTATTTTTAGCTTTTCCTAATCTGAAATTTGATAGCGATTTCCAGGTTACTTTCAGATTTGGACCCGCCAGTCAAGTAGGGGGTATTTCCCCTATCCCGAAATTTAGATCCCGAGACCCCAATCCCGAAACTCTATCCCGAAAACTCCCAATCCCGGAAACCTCTATCCCGAAAACTTCCTATCCCGAAAACTCCCAATCCCGAAAACTCCGTATCCCGAAAACTCTCTATCCCGAAACTCCATATCCCGAAACAAGTTAGCTAGCTTTAACGTGCCGAACACCAGACTAGATCTTTGAAGTAACTAGTGTTCCGCTATTTTTCGGTTTCGGAAATTTGATAAAATGATTTTCCGATGCCTTCAAGGATGTAGGGCGTTAGGAAACGCAAAATACTGAGTTTCGGGATAGAGAGTTTTCGGGATAGGGAGTTTTCGGGATACGAAGCTTTCGGGATTGGGAGTTTTCGGGATCGAGAGTTTTCGGGATAGAGAGTTTCGGGATAGAGAAGTTTCGGAATAGAAAGTTTCGGGATAGAGAGTTTCGGGATTGGAAATTTCGTGATAGAGAGCGGCATTCGTCAAGTAGCCGGCTATAGCAGGCTATACTTTATAGCAAAATTATAAACGTATACTTTTTACAGTCCTCGAAAAATTTAATTGCTTGTTTACGACCCATAAAACGTAAATTCTGTAACCAGCATTTCAGACCTGTCAGTTAGTACCTACCGGTGCGGACTCCCCTCCCTTGTCAACCCTCCCCTCTCCCCCTCGCCCATCGGTCTCGTGGTGTAGTGGGTTATCATAATCCGTCTAACACATAGAAGGTCGGCGGTCTGATCCCGCCCGAGATCATTTTACGGTTTTTGCTTTTGCTTTTTGTAAAGTTTATGGATTACAGGGTGGCAAACACGCTGCCGAGGCC